TGAGCAAGTATCTAAGAGCCCATGGATAACCATGGATAGAAAGGGTGCTAACACCTTCCCTTTCTATAACCTACCTCCCGAACCGAGAGCAATCTCTTTAAGGAATTTTTCTGTGCTTTTGTCCTTTCCATTTGGAGAAAATAAAAGACGGTGGCGACTCTTGCTTCCGCGACATTTCGCGAACCAGCGTTAAACAGTCAGTTCCAGATCCACCGATCACAGCGTGCGTTTAAGATAAATGGCCATGGCTGGTACCATTCTACTCGTTTCAACCTCACGAGTCTCGTGGTACCAGAATCATTACTCAATTTTTCCTATCCTGCAAATCCCTAATCAAGAACATAAAACCTTAGCTCTGGAAACTTCATGTACAAGCATTAGAAATACAATTAAATGGTACCAAAAGCTTGCAAACTCAATGACAAACACGAGTATATCATTAGAATATGCAATGGATGAGTGAATCAATGAAACTGAATTTGAATTTGGAAGCATGTCGTGATACCTATATCTTACAGTTCCAGGCGTGAAAAGGCTTGAATCTGATTGGAATATGCTCCTGGAACGTCCAGCAACCTCTTGGCAATGTGAGAAAGGCACGATCCGGTCTCTAATATGGAAATTGGATTACCACTTTTCTTAAAAAAAATTTAGTTTTATTTTCTCTTTGCACGACTGCTTCTAACCTCTCTATGCCTTGGTCTCCTTCTGTATATGTAATGTAATCTATTAGGTCAACAAAAACGACCTCAATCTGGCTCATCATGGAGATTTGATTTGATCTTTAAATGCATATGATTCCTTTCCAATTTTTCTCAAATCCAAGCTTTTTCAAACCAAATTTCCTTTGCACGAGTTGATCTTCAATTGGCAGCATATGAGATCTTTTTTCAATGCAAAAATCATCCCTAAAATACAATATATGATTTATTAGGATTTATTTGATTTTATTTGAATTTTAAATGAATAAAAATCAAAGTAAATTAAATAAATGAATAAATAAAGCACGGAGGGTCCCATAGGTCGTGGACTATGTTAGGAATGAGATGCAAGAATAAAAAGTTGGGCCCACTTAGCAAAAGATGCAAATTTGACTTTTGGCAATTTTGCAAAAAAGGTCAACTTGGCCAATGCATAACTCTCTAAATTTTGACCCTAGAGAAATGTTCTTGGACTTTTTAGAAAGCTTAGGATGTCCTCTAAGCAACCCTTTTGGTCTCATCTTAATTGAGTCTTCCATGTTCATGTATGAAGCTTGACCCAAAAGGTGTTTTTGTTGACTTTTCAAAATGACCTATAATGTCCAAATTCATATCTTCTTGTGAGTGCATATTTTGAACTTGGGAAATGAAGATGAATTGTAGGGAATTTCATCCTCTTAAAAATGAGCTTTTGATGGGTAATTTCTGATAAAGTATGAGAAATTTATGCTTGGTCAAAGTTGAGTTGACTTTTCCTACAAAACCCTAATTTAGCAACTTTTGGATTTTGATGAATTATGGGAAATCCTTGTTGAATCATGATCAACCCTTGATCAAATGATGAATGGTACTTAAAAATAATGATGTTGACCAAAAATCTTGAAGTTTGACTGTATGTGGGCCACAATTGACTTTTGACCTAACATAGTCGATTTCTAGGTATTTGAGCAATTGACTGAGCAAACTTCCTCTGCAAGGCTTGAAACTTGACATGGATGATCTTGTGAACATATTATGACAATGGTGAGCATTTGGGATCCTTCGGACTCAAGCATCTTGATGCAAAATGAAACCATAATTTGAGGTAGACTGCCTTATGAGAGAGTTTGTCTGGTCAACTCTTGGACTTCCTTGAGCAATTTGGGGACCTCACTTGACATTTGCTGAGAAATATGAGGGAAAATTTTGGGGTACAACACCCTGTAACATCTCAAAAAGAAATACAAGCAATATTAATCAGAACCAAAGGCATGAATCAATTGCTCATGACCTCCTGAATACAATACCACCCTTAATATGGTCCAATTTGGCCTGTATATGGAGTTCCCAATTTGGGACCTCAAAACCCTAGTAATGGCGCATGCTTATTCGTGTACTACACATTAAATTAAACCATCCAGAATCATTTCAAGTATGATAATAAACATGAATATATAGCTAAAACTTGTTTATGCTGGATAAATCAACGAAATCGAATTTAAGAAAATATGCAAACCGTGGTCAAGGTTGGGCGCGATTCTGCAGGTTCTAGGCTTTGGGAATGCTTGCAACGACTTCAGTGAATGTTCAGGAACGTGATTTGATCATTGGAATGGCTTGAATCGGTCTGTGGAGGAGAATGGGCTCTGCACTTTTTGACAAAAAAATTTAACTTTGTTCTTGATGTAGAGGCAGGCTACACAACTTTTTCTCCTTTTTTAGGGTTCACAATGCTTGTGTATATGTACTGAATCAATCTAGGGTAGCATTTGTGGCAAGAATCCAAAGATTAATGGCATCGTTTTAAGAAAAAATCAAATCTTGAAAAATTGCCATATGTGGATATTTTGTGTCCACTTGGCCTTGCACGATTTCTTTGGCTATTGACAACATATATGATCCATCATTCAATGAAAAATCATATCAAAACAAATCTACATTATTTATTTAATTTAATTTGATTTTTAAATAATTAAAATCAAAATAAATCAAATAAATAAGAAAATAATCCATGGAGGGTTTTATGGGTTGTACACCATGTTAGGAGCAAGTTCCAAACTTGAAAAGATGGGCCCATGTGGAAAAAAAATGCAAACCTGGGCTTTGTTGACTTCATGCAATTTTCAAACTTTGACCAACTTTGACAATGCATATCTCTCTCAATTTTGACCCTAAGAGGGTGTTCTTGGACTTTCTAGAAAGCTTAGGATGTCCCCTAAGCATGCTCTTTGGTTTAATCTCAATTGGATATTCCATGTTTATGTAAGAAGCTTTGACCCAAAAGGTGTTTTTGTTTACTTTTGAAAAAGAACCTATAATGTCTGAATTTATATCTTTTCATGAGTGCATTTATTGAACTTGAGGGATAAAGGTGAGTTGTAGGGTATTGAATTCTATTCAAAATGAGCCTTGGATGGGAAATATATGATAATGTATGAGAAAGTTATGCCTGGTCAATGTTTGGTTGTCTTTTCCTATAGGAACCCTAATTTAGCAACTTTTGAGTTTTGATGAATTAAGAGCATTCCTTGAGGAATCATGATAAAAACTTGATCAAATGATGGATATCACTTCAAAATTTTGATGTTTGCCAAAAATCTTAAAGTTTGACTGTATGTAGGTCACAGTTGACTTTTGACCTAGTATAATTGATTTTCAGGCATTTGAGCAGTTGACTGAGAAAACTTCTTGTGCAAGGCATGAAAGTTGGCATGAATAGTCTTGGGGACATATTAGGACCATGGAAATAATTTGAGGCCTTTAAAGCTCATAGATCTTGATGAAAAGTGAAACCCTAGTTGGAGGTTCATTGCCTTAGGAAGAGAACTTATCTGGTCAATCTTTTGGTATCTATGGGCAAGTTGGGGACCTCAATGGGCGTGTGTTGAATGAAATGAGATGGAAAATTTTGGGGTACAACAAGGGGCATCCATTATAAAAGCATGCTGAATATTGAAAATCTAACCTAACTGAAACATGATGTGCTCGAAACCTAAAGACCCTTATTTTTTGTTTGAGAGCAGAAAGTTCTCTATGATGGATTGAAATAGTAGAAAATTATTTGGTTTAAGGTTTTTTTTCTGTAAATATTTTTTTTGAGCTGAAAGTCATTTATTTATCTAACCTTTTTGTTTTATATCAAAGACAAATGCAAGAAAATCCTCAGAAAATATTATGCACCCAACATTTTCTCTTCCATGCACCAAACATTTATTCGAAGATTTAAAATCTAGATCTTGATGAAAATTAATTTTTAATGTAATAATCTTTGTAAACAATGTAAAATTAATGGTAAACAATATACTTTGTAAACAAATTAATTTATTAACATTCTAGATAAACAATGTAAATTTGTTTTTTTAAAATTTAATCTTACCCCTCGATTTTATTTGTAAATTGAGATATAAGATACGTTAATTTTAAAAATAATAAAAATGCATCTGCTGAGATTCAAACCCATGTGCATATAACTTTACCTCTCGCTTATTATTCCACTGAGGTCATAAGTGGCAACTTATCATGACGCGCTTCGCTAACTCGGTTCTTTAGCCAAGGTAAAATGCATTTTGCGTCCGAGGTCAAAAGTGCTTTTTGTAGTAGTGTATCTATGTATGTTAACAAGTTGAGGGTTCTCTGCAAATTAATAGTAGACTTTGAGAATCTCAAAGCTAATGGGTTTGATTTTTCTATTGAATTTAAGACTCGAGGTTGGGAAACTTACTTCAATCGCTTGAAAGGCCCAATTTATCTTGAACTGGTCAAGGATTTTTGGATACATGCTCATGTATCATCAAGTGGTCACATCTTTTCAAAGCTTATGGGAGAAAACATATGCATTACTAAAAATGATTTAGCAAAAATTCCTCAGCATGATGGAACTGGAAAAAGGTGCTATAATATGCATACCTTCTTTGAAGATTTTACTGAATTTACTGTTGTAATCTTTCTAGATGGAAAGGATTAACATCATCCAAAGAATATTCACATCCATCTAAGAATTTGGTTTAGAATCATTTTGGGTTATATGCATTATCGTTCTTCCTCCAACTCTTCTGACTACATCAACACTGATCAGAAGAATATGTTGTTCCATAGAGCATCAAGAGTTAACGTTGATCTTTCAACAATCTTATTCTAGTACTTGGGTGATATTATCAATAAGACCAGAGATATTGGTTCCAAACCTAGAAAATGGATTCCTATGAAAAAGCTTATTTTCTGACATCTTGATTGGAAAGTAAGCTAGTTGATTCTCTAAATCTCCAAAATGAGTTGGAAATTGAGATTGGAAATCCTCTGGATGAAATAATTCTGAAGAACATGGCTTTGATCTCTGAAGTCACTATTCTTCCAGATGCTTTGGATATAAATTATATCTCTTCCAGAAGAATGGTTGTGGAAGATTATCATGTGTTCAACCTGGCAAGATTTCTAGAATACATTCCTTTTCCATCTGGTGATTCCAGTCAAGAGAAGTATTCTAAAGCACCTTTTGTGTCCCCAATTAAAAGGAAGATAAATGCCTCTAAGAAGAAGACTGGTGATGGTCCGTCTAATAAGCCTAAAAATTCTAAGTCTTCTAGAAGATCTCTGGAAGACATTCTAGAAACAACTTATGTGGGCTCTAGAAGTCCCAAGGTTTTTAGAAAATCCCTCTCTCAAGGAATCTGGAACCACTGAAGGAAGTTGATGCTAAATATTCTGCTCCTAAAGGTTCTGGTACTACTATAGAAACAAATCCTCTTCTCCACCATCACCTCCTGTTTCCACACTTGAAACAAAGATAGCTCCCAATTAGAAAAATACAAATCCAACAAAAGTTACTACTACTGATCCCCAACCATCTCCTATAAATCCAAATTTTTCTGAAGACACTTCTTCGGGAACCTCAAAAGTTGTAACCATTCCACTCAACCCTACACCACAACTATCCATTTCTATTCCTCAACCATCTGAAACTATCTTTTTAAAAACAAACCCCACCATAACTACTCTGCCCGAACCTAGACAATCACCCCATATACTCCTCTCACAACTTCATGAAACAAAGTTAGATTTAAGTCCTCTCTATGATGACCCTTCCTCACCAAAACACAAAGAAACCACAACCTTTAACACTGTGTATAACTTAGATGCACTTGTGACTGCGTCAAAAGATTCTGATTCAAACATATAAATTGTTAGAATTATACCTTCGTCCATCCCTCATAACATTGGTGTATCTAACTTTGTTGAGATCTTTGCCATACCAGATAAAGTTTCTAACCCATACTCCACCCCTTCTGACCTTATATTCCTCTGAACCAATGTTTATCCAACACCCATAGATGAATTACTATATTATTTTGAATATGATGATTTGGATAGACTTTTCTCCTTCGTGGACACTTTCAACTTCTGTGAGAGTCCTGATGGAATTAATGCCCTATGGCATGAATTCAGAAGATGGATGGTTTCCAGCTCCATATAATTCTATTTCTTCTACTTCAAAGATGTTATGAGAAAGGTCAATGCGAGAATTTTTAACAATATAACACCTCTTCTTGTGCTTCTTCTTCCTGCACCAGAAGTTGAACTTCCCTTGGTGGTTTCTGACCAAGAGATTCAAACTTCTGAGAAGACTCTGGAGATTGGTACTTCTTCTGGAGAAATGGAGACTCTTGCTTCTAGCTCTAAAATTGTGCCTCTGGTGATTTAGGAAACCTTGGAAGAGCTTAGAAGAGAAAATTCTTTTGTCAGACAGCGTCTGAAAAAATAGGATACAAGATTCAAGGAACAAGCTAAAATAAATTATGTGATCACCAGCATGCTGAGACACATCAAGTCAAGATTGCCTCCTCCACCTTAACCTTAGACCTTTTTTTTGGAAATATGTACTTTATATGAATATATTCAATGAAGTTCTCTATTTAATTTCTAACAAAGGGGGGGGGGGGGGAGTAAGATGATTTTGATATACCTATTTCTCATTTACTAATCCCTAACATGTTCTAAAGTAAGATGATTTTTATATACCCATTTCTCATATATTGATTCCAAACACATTCTAATATTTTTACCTTTAACATTGTTTGACTGATCAGGAACTTTGAGAAAGTTACTAAATTTTTCTAAATAGGCAAGTTCACAAACTCTGAAGAATATCATGTTTTAATATCCATAAGTCATGTTAATTTAGTCATGTTAATCAAATCTTTGCTTAAAGGAAATCCAAATAGACTTTGTTAAACCATACTCTGATACATTAACCAAGTTCAACCAGGTTATGATACTCCATCAATATCAGGTTGTAATATGTTCTGATAGCAAGCCAGCGTCTGAGACAATCAACAAGACATTTATATTCAGACTAATGATGAACTAGACATCTCTAGTCAAACTATGATGTTGTTCTTAATCAGGCATTCTAGTCAAACTTTGATAGTGTCTTAATCAGGAAAGTATTCCTTACATGTTGAGTAATGTGTTTTATACTTCAAAATTATTTCATGAGTCTTGAATTCAGGGGGAGCCTCTGAACAAACTTAGATAAGTTTTTGAGAGTATATAACTCAGGGGGAGATGTTTAGCTAACTCTAAAATGTTTTTATGTGATTAAACTTGTAAAAATTGTTCATCAAAATACATGGTTTTATCATCATCAAAAGGGGGAGATTGTAAGAATAATATTTGGTTTTGCATTTGGCCTTTATTTTTTATGATAATAATAGGTTTTACTAATAGGTTATGACTCTAATAGAACAGTGTGTGAAGTCATCAGTTTTTGGATACATTATGACTCTGGAGAGATATAAAGTATGTGTTAAGATGAACATACTTTAGACTAATGGTTCAGATGAACATTAGTCTAAAGCTTCTGATTGTGACTCTGATGAAAGAGCTTATGAAGACTTCTCAAGCTCTAAAGATTATGCGCTTTCAAGTTTTGAGGTTATGAAGACTCTGAAGACAAGGTTATGCTGAACAAGTTCTAAAGACTCTCATTTTGGTTTTGATCCTTATAAGCATGCTTCACTAATACATATTCTGAAGCCTCTGAAGATTAGAAGATATGATTAAAAAGGTTTTACGTGATTGAATAGTACATGGTGCAAGATCAAATATTCCTCCCACTACTATGGTTTTGTGGAGCAAGAACTGTACTATGGTATGATGTTGTCTACCACTCTCACTGACCATTATGAAGAATACAATTGGAATTTAGAATTCCCATTATACCCTATAGTGGATACTTCTTTGGCGATATAAAGAAAACTTGGAAGAATGGAAACCAACTTTTGCAAAAACAACTTTTCACTAAACTATCAAACGTAAATATTTCATCTTTGTGTAAAGAGCTATAAAGCAAGGAAATTTTGTTCATATACTTGCTAGAAAAACTTTTTTGTTCATCTTTGTATTTCAACGTGTGTAATCTGCTTTCTTAGAAGAACTCTTGTGAACACACCTCTTGTATCTCAACTTTTGAGTTGATTGTTCTTTGAAAGACTAGGGTATAGTTAGGATTTCTCAATAATACATTGACGAGTAGTCTTTGTGGTTGTAATCAACTTGGTTATAGTGGATTGGATTAACTTCGTTAACAGTGAACCAGAATAAAAATAATTGTGTTCATTTATTTTTGTTCTTGTTTCATCTTTGATTGTGTTGGGTAGAAAAATTTTCAAAACTAGAAACTCAATTCACCCCTCCCCTTTCTCGTGTTTCATGTACCTTCACCATCATCATCTTTTTGGGCTAGCAAACTTTCTGTTGTTGAGTTAGATGCAAAAATGTACAATTTCCTAATTTTGTCCCTCATTGGGGGGGGGGGGGGGGGGTAACAATATTAGAGGTTTCAACAGGTACGTCTTGATGTCATCAAATTACTTTTGATGCTATGTCTCCCATCTAAATACTTCCTCTTTCTTTAGGCATATAATTGGTGAAAAACATTCGTCTTTCCACTTAGATTCGATGTAAATCTCCTTAGAAAGTTTATCTTCCCAAGTAGAGACTAGAGTTGCTTATTATTCACGGAAGGCTCTATGTTGAGCATGTCCTTCATTTTGTTCGAGTTTATTTCAATGTCTTTCTTATGGACCGCGAAGCCTAGAAAATCACCTCCATGGACTAAAAAAGCTCACTTTAATGGATTCATCTTAAGTCCATATTTCCTCATTCTTTCAAAGGTATACCGAAGGTGGTCTAAGTGACCATTTTCTGATGAGGACTTGATGACAATGTCATATATATAAACCTACATATAAATTTCAATAAAGTCATGAAACATTAAGTTCATTAACCTCTGGTAGGTTACGCCAGCATTCTTCAATCCAAAAGGTATCACCACCCATTCATACATGCCTAAGGCCCCTGGACATCAAAACACCATTTTGGAAATATTTTCCTTTGCAATAAAAATTGGGTTATAACTAGAATAACCATCTAGAAGACTTAACTATTCAAACCAAGTGTTGAATCGATTAGTATCTCTGCTACTCATATTAGGTATTCATCTTTTGGAATGACACCATTAAAATCTCTAAAGTCAATACAGACTCTAAGAGTGCCATTATTTTTGTTCATCGGGTGTACAACTTCGTAATTAGATGTTTTATATGATGTCAAAACTGGGAAAGCTAGCACTTTTGTACATTGAATGATATCTCTATTTCTTGTGTCTCTCATTTGCATTAAAGGTCTTAGGGACATTAGAAAGCATTTTTAAAAATTGAATCAATTCATTAAAAACAAGTTTATGCATAATTTTTATTGCATGTATCGACACATCTGTGTTCTAGGTAGACATATGCAGCTCAGTTTTGAAGCCTGTAGCCTCTGGAAGGCTCAGGTCAACACATGCATTGCATAGGTCGACACATACTAAAGCATTTTTGAAATTACAAAAATTCTTATTTTATGTGTCTACATATACAATTTATAGGTGGACACATTTGTTGTTGTTTTAAATCATGTGGCCTCTGACTTGTTTCGGTCGATACATACCTTCTTTCAGATCGACACATACAACTTAAACTTAACATTTGTGTCGATAGATTCGATATATAGGTCGACACATACTGTTTGTTTTGGTCAATTTTATAAATCTTTTAAATTCTTAATAAGTCGTTTTTTCCCTAAATTTCTAAAACTATAAATACATCATTCATGCATCACTCATAACTTGATGATACCATAAAATTAGCCTACATTTTCGCTTCATCTTCAACCTCTAATCTATGCATACACACTAACATTCCATTATAATGATCTTTTGTTAGGGTGCCATCTAGACGAGGTTTAATAACATCTAATTAGGTTCTTGTGTAGCCAAAGATATTGGGTTGAGATTTGTAGGGGACTTCATCCAGAAAAACTGCAGGGTTTTCCTCTAAGATCATTGATTGATTTTGGGGTTTTCGTGCAAGACATTCAAGAGGTAACTGCGGCCAAGGGAAACCCTTTGGAGATAAAGAATGCAAAGGATATTTTGGAGATAAATAGCACAAAGGAAGTAGTTAGAGAACGACGGATTACAATTGAGGACTTGTGTTGCAATAGTTGAAATTGACGGTGCGTGAAAGCTTTGGAGATAAATAACGCAAAGGAGTAGCAAGATCCAAATAGTCAATTTGCATCTATTGTGTCTTGGTATTTCTCAATATTAAAAGAGGAGAAGGGGTTGAATCAACAATAAGCTTAGGCTTTATGGAGTTGCTCTTTAAAACTTCTTGTTCTGGACTGGCCCGACAGCCAAAGTGGGCCTAGTGTAACTCCTTCTTTCGATACGGCCCATACGACCATGGCTCGAATCTCCCCCGCTCCCTGTCGGGAAGCATCGATCCCTTTCCCTTCTGGACCAGCACCAACCAATGATGATTGACTAGAACCTCTCAGTCTGCTCAACATCAAGTCGCACATACAACCAGGAATCGACCAGATCACTGCCCGTAACCTACCTCCTCCTCGAATCTAATGACTAGTTACATGAACACCTGTCTGATTTGACCAAGTCCTGGCAGTTACCTATTTTTATGGACCCGCATATCCAGACCCAAAAATAATAACCAACCAATGGAGACACTCCAGGGGCATTATATAAACCCTCACACATGTGAGGGCCAGGTATCAAATATTCACTATTCACCACTAATACCCTAATACTTTGCTTGTATCTCTTTGCTCCCATACTTACTTGATCGTCGGAGTGTATTGCAGGTACAACCCCCTTTTTCCCTCCTTAACATTACAGCCCGACTGAAGATCATCATCCGGCCACCTTGCAGGTTTTGATCAACCGGTAAGATCAGTGGTTCCGTCTATGGGAAACATGATCTCCCCATCTTTCTTTCCCAGGAACTCAAAGACCAAAGCATATATTCAAGATTCCATTCCCCAATCATGGTCGACCATGATGATCTCCTCCTGCTCAGAAAGATTCCACTTTCCCCAATGCACAAGACAGATGAAGGCCAGGGACATCCTCACCTCAAGGATAACTTTGACCTCTGTGATGGTCGAACTACATATCCAGACTCCATCGGTGCCCAGTGAGATGAACAACATTTATTGGACAGACAACATCCCAAGATCTCTGATAAGGAACTGTCAGAGATCCTACAATCAATTACTATTCCTCAGAGCACGGAACTGACCATCACAGCACTACACGCTCCTATTAACCAAACCAACACCCTTATCTTGAACCTTAACAAA